TTTGTTGGAGCAAAACGCAAACTCATGGAATTTGAAAGGCTTGCTAGATCTGCAACTTATAGCCAAAACGTTAGTAGATATTTGGTTGATAATGGCATTAAATGGCATCTAAATGTTCCAGGTGCGCCACATATGGGTGGACTCTGCGAAGCTGGCATAAAATCAACAAAATACCATTTAAAATGAGTAGTTGACGAGGCGAGATTGGCATATGAAGAATGTGAAACATTTCTCACACAAATAGAAGCTTGTCTTAACTCACTACGTTTAATAAGTTTATCTAATGATCCAAATGATTTATCAGTATTGACGCCTGGTCATTTTCCTATTGGTAGATCATTAACAAGAACCAAATTACATTGAAGTTTCCCATCTCACTAGATGGCAATATATTCAAAAAATGGTTCAACAATTTTGGAAGCGTTGGCACAAAGAATATCTGTGTCGATTACAACAAAGACCAAAATGGCTTTTGCCAAATAAAAATCTTCAAGTTAATGATCTGTGTCTCATAAAGGAGGATAACTTATCTCCAACTAATAGAAAATGGGTAGAATTACTCAGTTACATCCTGGTCATGATAATATTGTTAGGGTTGTAACTATTAAGACTTCAGATGGCATGGTCAAAAAGAAATATTACAAAATTGTGTCCATTACCGATTTAAGTTTTAATTCATGGATTATAAATTAAGTATTATATCAGGATTTTAATATTGTATTGTGTTTTTTAAATTTGTTGAGTTTTTAACCACTGAATGTTGAAATAGTATTTCAAGGTGGGCGGCATGTTCACACCTTATGTAAATTTTGATTTTGTTCTCTGCAAGAAGGCGCCTGCGAGCGCCGAACTACCTGTATATCTATTGTACAAACTTGTTCTTCTCACGGCCAATAAACACAATAACGAACGTTTGTGTCTACTTTCCATCCACTAACACCCTGATTTATGGTAACCTAAGTAGTTGTATGCTATGAAAACCCTATTATGATGTGATTGGTTGCATAATTACGGTGAATTTGACTAATGTGAAAATATTTGTAAGGGCCTATTCCTGCATTGGATGTCAGTTAGGAAGTACGTTGCTTGTTTTATGCTGTACATTGTAAAATGGCTGTATGTGATGAGATTAATGTGAAGTTTCTGTACAGTTTGGAGCAAAAGGGGAAAAAAGCATTAATTGACTGGTGTGTAAATGAAAGTTTACTTAAGTCATCATAAGTGTCCTGTTCGTATGAAGGAAAGGCATATGCTCGAACATAAAGATCATTCAGATGGCTTTGAATGGGTTTGTTGCAAGAAAGGTTCGTGCAGAAATGCCACCAACAGTCCGGCACTACGGAGGATATCTTTTACTCTTATTTTTGTGAATTTATGTAGTGATGGCAGTATGCATATTCTAGTTCAGATAATTTTTGAAAGTTTTTGGAAGGAATTTTGTGTGCCACGGACTGAAGCCACCGAAATTTCTAAGTATTTTTTTTTTTTCCAATGGCAGATTGTGAACAATTACAAATGTAACCCTGTCCATTAATCTATACAAGGCCGGATGTGGTGGTCTCTTTATTATGGAGGCACCTAATAGGTGGGCCACCATCGTCTTTTCATTGAAGGGACGGACAGTTACAACCATGCCTTCTCTGGTATTCGAACCCAGGCCCTTCGGCATCACAGTCAGCTTCTCTGACCACTATACTGACTGGACGGCAAAATTTCTAAGTATGGCAAGTCGATATTTCCGTTTTGTAGTGCGTATATGTGATAAGATGTATTTTCTGTTTTATGTTATTTCATTGTGTGATTTAAAATGCAATTTATTAAACTTCAATTGGCTACAGATTTTGTTCGGTTTTGGTGATGAGTAGCTTTGTTTTAACATTATAATGGCGTCATTATTATCCTGATTGATGTGTCCATGTACAAAGTTGAGAGTGAGCAATGCCCAGTTTGTGTAATTCTCTGATTTTTTTTTAAGTGAAAATAGATTGATTTGTACATGGACACAGAGTTTGGGCAATTCTTTGACTTGTTATTTTGGTTTTGTAAAGCGGCCATCTTGAAATTGTGCCCTGCTGGCCAATTGCCAGTTTTCGCCAAGGGGCACCCTTAAATATATTTTTACCCTTTTTTCTCCCAGCATTATTGAAACAGTAAAATAACATTGCCATATTAAAGGAATGTGATAAAAGATAAATATTTGGTTCATCTCATTCTGTGAACTTTTTGTGAATACCTTTTTTATGTTAGCGATATATTTGAACTCCATATTTGGCAGTGGAGGCAATTCTGAACTGATAGTCAATCTTGAAAGGTGTGTTAAAAATATAGTTATACAGGTAGATCCAGCTTGATATCAATGATACAGTTAAATATTGCTTTCTGCATTTCTTTTAATTTTTTCTAGTTTTATAATTATATATCATTATTTTTCATCATGAATTTTGCAAGTGTGAAAATACATCAATATTGCTAGCAAATATATTGGAGATCTAGTTTTTCAAGAGAAAAAGGAATTACCGTATTTGATGGCATATAAGACGCACCCTTGTTTAGAAGGCCACACACAAGGAAAAAATAGTTTCAATAGTCCGCGCGAAAATGCTGTACCACAATAACTTAAAATGTGGTTTCTTTTAGTTCTCACGTTTCATAAAAGCCAAATAAACAATCATTGAATGCAATTACCAAACACATTTTTATTAAGGAAAATTAACAAACTGCAAGCTATTTTGAACATGATATGTAAATTTCAATAATGAATGAACGGCAAGCAATCAAATATAATACAAATAAAGCAGAAAAACAAAAAACACAGATTCAAGGAAACTTGCCTATCATGAAATTAACTTTAATCACTGTCAAAACTTCCATTCACTATCATCATTCAAACGAGAAAATCGTCATCACTACTGTTTCCATCATCGCTAGTATCACCTTCTTCGAAGAATGCATCGTCTTCTGTTCCGTCAAGAGCATTACTAATTCTGCACTTCTTAAAGGACTTAACAATTACTTGGCCGCTTCATTCTACCTGAGGGTGTGAGGGCGTGATGTGGCTCTTCTATCCACTTGTTCATCGTTCTCGCGCTTTTTCCTTAAATGGCTTATTCACCGATATATCTAAAGGCTGCAATTGGCTAGTCAGTCCACCAGGAATGACAGCTATCTGGGGTTTTATTTCTCTCACTTTATTCTTTATGGTTTCAGTTCTATGGGTGCTAAACTGATCCAAAACCAAAAGAGATGGTTTTCTTAAGAGTCCACCAGGTTGCCTCGCCCATACTTTCTGTAACCACAGTTTCATTCCAGCTTCGTCCATCCAGCCTTTCGGATAAACATGAACAATTACACCCGTTGGAAGTTTTTCTTTTGAATATGAAAAACGGCAGTAGTTTTCTGCCATCAGCACAACATGTTAGAACTACAGTATATCGAGTTTTTCATGACCTGTGGTTTTTATGGTTATTGATTTAGACTCTTTAATACTCACAGTCTTGTTGGATGGTACATCAAATGTCAGTGGAATTTCATCCATATTTCCTATTTGACCGACGTACCGTCCATAGATGTAATGTGACCGCCGAACCTGTTCGAACTTCGACATCAGCTTCGAGCTTTGGCGCTTTTTGGCGACAGATATTTCACGCATGCGCTAAATAATTATGGCAAATGTAGAAAAAGTTATGTGTGTCTAGACCAGGGATGGGCAAACATTTTCGGTCGCGGGCCAAAAATCGAAAACAAAATGTTTGGCGGGCCAAGATATTTTTCTAAAATTTTAAGAACAATATCAAGATCATTAATTATGTTAAGAGAAAACTGAATTGCGATTTCATTTTAAAGTACTATATTGAGGTTCAAGGTGTGTATGATTCTAAGAACGAAGCTAAATGCGCATGTGTCAATCTACTTCTGAAATAATTCTTTCTAAAGTTTATGGTTGAAAACACTGTTCACATATCTAAGATGAAGCAACATAGCACTAATTGCTGGGCATGAGATATTAAATCGAGAAAACTTACTTTCGATAATGATTAAAACTCTAACTTGGCATATTTAGAACAGCTGCTTGAGAGATTGTTAGATGGCAACGATTCAAATTGCAAATCTGACCTCACTGCTTCCCAGTTTACGTTGAAGGCTGGGAAAAAATCCAATTCTGTTGGAATGGCATTGAGATCTTGACTCTCGACTCAAAATGCAGTTTTTTCAAGCCATCTTCATAATATCTTAAGCTTTCTTCATTACTGGGGGATTGAATTACCTCAAAGACTAGCTAGGCATATTTAGATTTACTAAGTTAAGATTGTTCAAGAGGTCTAATTCACCTATAATTGGATTCCTATATGTCTGGGAAAGAGCTTGTTGACGTCCAATCTAGCTATAATAACAAAGAACTTCCGCTGCTCCACTTTACGCTTAAAAGTGCGGCGCTATTTTCTGTCAAGAACAAAAAGAGATGAGTAAAAAGATCCCTTTGAAAAAAGGAAGAAATAAATAATATTTAAACAAAATAGAAAAGGAGATGGATATATAATACATATCTCTTTTAATTTGCCTCGGACGAAAAAATTTTCTCTCTCCGTGGGCGGCAGCGGGCCGTAGTTTGCCCATCCCTGGTCTAGACCTTTATCCGCACTAAAAATAGCATTCAGTATTGAAAGTTAACCTGTGTCCTTAACGTATAAGACGCACGTAACTTTTTTGAGACCAAATTTAGGAAAAAAATGTGTCTTATATGCCTTCAAATACGGTAACTGTCCATGTGCATTATTTCTGGAAAATTAAATATATATTATACCTAACTTAATCTAACTTTCATAGATTTTTTTTAGTTTCAGTTCAGCTGTGAAAATTAGCAACGAATATAATGCAGTAAGATACAAATATAAATTGGTTATAATTTTTTTAATCTGCTATTTTTGTTTATCAAATTGAAGTATTATAGGTGTAAATTCAAAATGTTTGACTTTATAATTGTGATTATTTATATTTTTCAGCTGTCTAAAGCCAGTGGAGAGGAAGAAAATTTAAGTCCTAACTCCTCTCACTATCAAAAGACTATGAGTGAAAACCTAAATGGAGATTTGTCTAATTTTAGAATATTGGCTTATCAGACTAAAGCACCTCAGGCCCCTACTGGTAACTTTCTAAGTTTTAATTTTAGATTCTCTTGCATGTGATGTAATGAAATATTAAATTTATATTCTGAATTAAGCATATTTATCAGGATATTTAATTAATCTTATTCTAAAAAGTGAGAAATTATTATTAGCCATATGTGTAAAATTAATTACACTACAAAGTCCAAGATCTGAATGAGCAATATCCAGAATTCTAAAATCCAGACCTCAAAGCCACCAACAACCCTTTTGTGTGTGTGTGTGTGTGTGTGTGTGTGTGTGCTGACACATGTGAATTTGATTTTCCCCCCTCCATAATGAAACGTGGAGAGTTCTGATTCTTAATTTCACTTCAACGCTAAATAAAATACCTCATTATTCAAGAAGAAACCATTTTAGCATAAATTTGTGTGATCAATAGTTTGACTCCGTAGCTGCGTGTCTGCTTAGCAATACATCGAACCGAAACATTCTATATAGAAACATCATTGATTTTACAGTACTAATATTCCTATGCCAACCTGGAGAATCATTATTATACTTTGCTTTCATCACCGCATGTTTATCAACACATGATAACTTGAGTAATGACTCATGCAGTGATGCCTAAATAATTTTTTTTATTTGTAATTGAATAGCAAAAAGTATGGTAACCTTTTATGTTAACATTACGCTTGGCAATGATTACAGATTCAAGTTAAATGCGTTTAGAAATGTTGACGAGGAAATATTTAAAAAAAATTTCTTCTCATATACTAAAAACAGATTTTGTTAATGATATGATAATCATAGACCAAAAGATTACATTTGAATTAAGAATGACTGATTCGTTATTCATATAAACCAAGAACCTGTGCCAGAGCTCGTATAGCCACACCAGGCGGCAGAATTTAGGATAGATAAAAATTTTTTTGAATTTAGAAAAGCACCGAGCAACAAAATTAAGAGATGACAAAATTTTTAGAATTTAGGGAAAGCACTGAGACCTAAAATTTAGGAGCAGCAAAAATTTAGAACTCAGGCGCTTGGTAGCAAAATTTAGGAGACTGCATCAGGCGGTAAGATATCTAGCGCCCACCCTGGATAAGCCTTAAGTTTATGTGTAAATTTATTTATTCAGGACTCGGGTAAGCCATAAATATTTGCAAAAAAATAGATGTAAGTATAATAAATAACTAAATTAATACAATTCAGGAATAACTGCTTCAGTGTGTGATAGAAGCAAGACAAAACTGAGTGAGAGAACTTGTGTTTTGTCGCTAATCTCATACAAAGTCAATAATGGATGTTATTAAACTAGGCTACTAAAATTATACTTTATTGATTCTAAAGCATTTCAGTTAATACAGCAGATTGCCCTGTTCCTTATTTTTCTGATTTGATCCAGCTTATTATTTTTTGCAGGTGGTTATTACAGCAATTTTATGAAAATTAAATTTATGTTGAAAAGAGTTTCTGATTCTGAAACTGCAAAAGGACTTAAAAGCAAAAGCATATTTTGATGTCCATTAAATAAAAAGTGGAATTGCTACCAAAAAACGGATAAAGGTATATCCGTCTCAAAATAATACGAAGAGGAAGCATTGGAAAGTCAACTATGACATAAAAAATATTGGTTGTTCAGACTATATGACATAAGAAAACAGGGAAAAAATTTAATTTTGATTCCGATACCCCCTTGCAATGATTAACAGAAAAATTATCCGCTGTACTCGAAGTGACGATCATGACAAAATGATGATTGAATGGGCCAGACAGCATTGCAGTGAGGGCATGCCATTGATGGATACAGTGCTGATGGCTCAAGCCAAAATATTACATGAAGAAATGGACTTAAAAACTGAGTGCACATATTCGACAGGTTGGTTAACTAAATTTAAAAATTGCCATTAAAACTTTTAGATACAAAAACGTCACCTTATACTGAAGCTGCTGAACTATTTGCAGATGAATTCATTGAACTCGTTAATAGTGAAAAGTTATCTCCAGAACAAATTTATAATGCTGATGAAACTGGTCTTTTCTGGCAATATGTACCGCAAAATACCTTGGCAGCCTTTCCAGAAAAGGCTCCAGCTAATGTCAGAGATTCCAAAGTGAAACTAACATTTTTGCTTGCGCAAATGCTGCAGGAACGCACAAGTGTAAACTTTTCGTAATCAGAAAAAATGCATGAGCTCGAGCATTTAAAGGAGTAAATAATTTCAACATTATATATCATGAAAGTAAAATAGCATGGATGATACAAGCATTAATTGAATGACTGATTTGAAAATCATTTCATAGCCAAAGCTCAGCGAACATTTGAATTGGTTGGATTACCTGATGACACAAAAAATGTCCTGATTGTAGACAACTGTTTGGCTCAAATTTCATTTAACGTTTTAGTGAAAGATAATGTACCCATATTATCCTTTCTTCCAAATTATATGTCCATCATTCAGCCTATGAATATCGTAATAGTTTGCACTCTGAAATGCAAACATACAGTAGCATTTTTAAAATCCATGTTAAATTTCTTGAATAATGGCAAGACTGTCCAAGAATTTTTGAAATATTTTACCATAAAATCTGCTGTGTGGAGAATTGCAAGATCGTGGGAGAATGTGCTTCCAGATGCTTTAAAAAATGCTTGGCGTAATTTATGGTCAGCTACCATATTTCATGGTGAGGATGATAGATGCGAATTTGAAGGTTTTCGGATATCGCAAATCAAAGGTGAAATTTTCCAATTAATGGATTTTGTAAAAAAATGAGGAGAAGCGGTAATAAAGGAAGGTGATATAAAAGAAGTTTTTCATTGTCATAACAATGGCCCGATCATAAATAAATTAACGGATGGAGAGATCTGTAGTATGATTCTAGATCCAGAAAATACCACTACAGATAGTGAAGAAAGTGAAAGAGAGGGTCTTGAAAATGAAAAATTTCGATTGGCAAGGCAATTGGCACAAAAATGAAGTGACTTAAACAACTTACATTGAAAGAAATGTTTAATAAAGTAAATAAATATTCAGCCTTTTTTGTAAATTTGGACACCCTTTAGATCGTAAATGCTTCATTATTTCATAAATAAGGATTTTATATTTTCTACATGCCATCTTACTAGATTTAAACTGGTGATCTAATATCCAGAAAAATTCCAAGTGTGGAATCATCGAAGTCCCGACGAGTCCGGATCTCGGACTTTGTACTGTATTTTCATTTCTTTAAAATTCCATTGCAAGCATTTGAATTAATACTTTTTTTTCCCCCCCCATACCATCTTCAGCTTCAGTTCTTAGTGGAGTTTACATATTACATACACTTGTGTGTAAAATTTAGAGAATTTGCGCATGTAGGATTTCTGAAAGACTAATGGGCAGATTTTAATGAAACTTGATATGAATGTACATTTCTAGCACAGAAAGAGATGTACCATTCAAAAGTGTCTTTATTTATGCATTCAAATCCACATTGTGATATCAAACTGAAAATAAAGTATGGTCCCCTCTCACAGGCAGAAAGGTCATGCTTTATGATGGTATACTGGATAGGAGGCAGATGAAAAGTTTGTGTGGTAATCATTTCCACTCCTGCAACAAGACAGTTTTCAACAACTCTGGGTTCGTTTTAGGAGGAGAGTGGTGATATGAAATTGCCTTCACATAATCTATAGGGTTAAGGTCAGGCAGGAGATATGACTGGCCAAACCATACAGTCAATATCCTCACTTTCTAGGTAATTGTCTTCCACCTGAGCCCAATGTGGATGATCATTGTCTTCCACTAACAGGAACCCAGGACCAACTGCGTCCCTGAAAAGAAAAGTTGAAGACTTGGCTCTAAGATCTCTTTTCGATACCTCATAACAGTCAGGGAGCCTTTGTGAAACACATGCAGGGATGTATAGCCATCCAACTTAATGTCTGCCCAAACCATTACACCTCCACCACTGTAATAATTCTTTTCCCTGGTGTGAGGGAGGGTTGTTATGTTCCAATCTCTTTCCAGATACTGCTATGCCAAGAATCAGTGTATCCTGGCTCTGTCTTCATTCGTCTATAAAAAGCATGGTGTTCCACTGAAGTCTTGTCTAAAGCACATTCTCTGCACCATTCTAAAGTCTCACTCTTGTTCGCTGTAGCGAGCAGGTTGCAAACAGTGGGTCTTCTGGCATCTCTTGATCCATCTCTTGAAATTTTCGGGCACTTGTAGACCATGAAACTCGGGTTCTAGTGGCAGCATACAGCTCACATTGGAGATGTGAAGTTGTGGCAGTCCTGTGTTGCTGCTCTGAAAGTGCCAAATAACAATCTTCATTTGTCATTCTGGATATTGGTTGTCCTTGTTCAGATCTTCTCGATATGGATCCAGGGTCCTAAAACCCTTCTTCCCAAACTGCAGACAATACTGGGAATTACACTGAGCTCTATAGCCACTTGCACTTGTGATTGGTCAACCTCCGCTGTCAACAATTCTCCATCTCATTCCATCATCCATACATTCGTAGCTACTCATTTTACCTGATACCACATAAAATTTTCTCAACTATTTCAAGAAACATGGCAAATGTTGTGAAGAAGTTTAAGCACACAAATCATCAAAAAACCCTTGTGCACTTATATTCCCTCCACAATCATAGTTCTGCAGATGCTGTGTCAAAACATTATGTACGGAGTTACTGTAGTAACTGCTTATGCATGCAATTACGAGTAAAAGCCAAAAATCGGAACCAATTTTTAACAAATTCAGCAAGGGGATTCAAAGAGCTAAGAATCATTATTACATGTGTATACAGACAATTAATATGTAAGCAAATGAATTATATTCAGCATGTGTGTATAGACAGTTGATATTGTTGTGCTCTATGGGTTTGTGGATTTGGGGTGATAGATGACACTTGCTGAAGAATCAAAACACAATTTGTTTAGCGAGTATTACTGAGGACAGTTCCGAATCATGTTTATAGTCATCGAAAAACTATGACAAACACGCTGATACAATCACGAGCACTGCCTTCAGCCTATATAACGGTGAA